ATTTTTTTGAATACAATTGAAATAAAATACAGAACTCTCACCTATATTTGATTGAATACAATTGATACATAATAAATTTAAATGTATTTCTTCTTATTGGTAGGAAAGAGAAAAACAGAGAGAGAGAGAGGGGTGAGAGAGAGGAGAGGGCAAGGGAGAGAGAGAGAAAGAGGAGAGGGCAAGAGAGAGAGGGGAAGTGTTTTTTGTAAAAAGAACATATTGCTCTTTTTTATAATATTTTGAAACTACAGCTATTTTCCATAAATAAGTTGCTAATTTTGACTAGTTTGATAATTTTCCCAAATTTAATGCCCTCAATTTTTTTTCCAACTAGTTTCTTAGAGTGGCCAAACTAGCTAACACCCTCTTCAATTCCTTTTTTCTGTCTTCCTCTCTTACCTCCCAAGTCCTTCTGCCCTCCAACCATCATTGGCTTCCCTAATTTATCAGAATCCCCTTCATTTTCACCTCAACCCTCCTAAACACCTCCTTATTCCACACACTTATCTCCCCTTGCAACAATTTCAATTTCTTGGCATTTTGACTTGTCAGTAACCGGATGACCATTCCACCATCCCATCATCTATCTCCAAAGTTTGTCACTTAAACACATGTTCTCGGACCTGTAGGGGGAATTTGTGTGTCTTCCTCTGCTTCATCCAACAAAATTGGAAAATGGTCCACAATCAATCTAGGCAAAGGGGTTTACTTGGAACCGTCTCTTCCCATGCAGTGGATAACAAAAACCTGTCAAGTCTAGAACTTGATGTTGAATCCTCTGTTTGACCCATATTGACCCATGTTTGTTAATCTTTTTTTAAAATGTTCCTGCTATTAGAATAGACCCATTGCTGCAAAGCATGTGAGAAAACATGTTTTTTTTCGACGTTCTGAGAATCCAAACTGGTAGGTGTGGGTAACTAGTGTCCTCACATATTTAGTCGCCTGTGTAAGAAGAATTTTGTTGAAATAAATTTATTTTCATCTCTTTGCATTTCCAACTATCCCTTTGGACAATATGACATTCTTGTTATAAAATAATAATTCTATAAGGTTCTAGAATTCCTCTTATCTCCTAATCTTGTAGATTTCTTCTGAATGTCAAATTCCACAAGGTTTCTCTATCTTGAAACTTGTGAACTTGATGAATTGTCGTGTCCATCTTACTTGAGCTGCTGAAGGTGGTTGGAACAAAATGCTTAGGCTGTCGTCACTGAACCATCTCTGCTACCCTATCCAGCAATATGTTAAATGTCGAAACTTGCTACATTAAATATTTCCAATACGATCTGCTATTAATGAGAACCACAAGTCATAGTGAAACATGAAAATATCTTGATCAGATCCTTATCCATAATCTAAATCTTGTGAAGTCCATTAGATAGTGCACCATAATGAATTTTCACATTTTTTTACATGATTTGTTATGTCTGTTGAGTATAGCCTATTCATCACATCGAAATTTTCTTCTGATTCTGACCTTTAGTAAAAATGCGGTTCTATACATCTAATGATTTGTTATTCTAGTCTAAATGAGAAACTCTTAACTTGATATTGTGCTTCAGGTTTCCTAGAGACTGGCTTAAATGCTTTGGTTGAATCCCTTACGCATGGTTCTGAACTGGAAGGCATAGTTGGTATTTCTGATAGTTCAATTGATGCTATGGCAATACAAGTCATATCTCACAGCGGCGATGGCCTAGTGTCAAACCTAATGTATGCTTTACTTGGTGTTTCTGCAATGTCAAGGGTAAATTGAACCAGCTCATGTTTATTCCTCGAGATACTATAGAAAGAACTGGTAGCAATCAAGTTTGGTGCAGGTTGCTTTGTATCAAAAGCATTTATTTTGCAAGTATGCCGTAGGTTGCTAGAGTCTTATCTTTGAATTACAATTCAAATGTCATATATGCAAGATCGTGTAGAACCAATTTTGCCAGAATGGGATCCTTTTTTACTAGGAAATATTATCGTGAGGATCAAGTGGCTCGCTATTATTTGTGGAGCATCCTTAAGCCATTTGGAACAAAAGCAGGAGTCTTTGAACACTACAGTTGGATGATTTCAATCTTTATGGTCTTTTTGACAATGTTGTCGTTTTCGCTAACACTGTTCCCTTAACAGGTTCACAAGTCTGCAACACTTTTGCAGCAATTGGCTGCTATGTGCAATTTAAGTGAAAGAACCACCTGGAAGGCTCATCTTTGTTGGGATTCCTTACATGGATGGCTCCATTCTGCAGTCAGTCCTCTCTCTCTATCACTATTTATCTATCTCTCTCCTAAGTGCCTTTCTCATTTATTTTATCAAAACTGATCCTGCTGCTCATGCACAGCAAACTTCCTAGAAGGAAAGCAGCACTTATATGAGCCTTATGAAATGGTCATCATTTGTTACTTCTATAAGAAAAAATGTTTTTCCAGCTACTATGATAAGTTGAGAGAATTGCATTGAGACAATGTTTTTGTGGGGAGAGTTGTATCAAAACACTCTTTTGTGTGACCAATAATCGTTTTCCAGGTACACAATTTACCAGCTGAGTACCTAAAGCATGGCGAAGTAGAGTCTTTGGTCCCTCTCTGGATTAAAGCACTTGCTGCTGCTGCTTCAGATTATATTGAGAGCAGGCGAAACGTTGGAGGAACAAGTGATTATGGGCATATGCAAGGTAAAGGGGGGAGAATTCTGAAGCGTTTAGTGAGAGAATTTGCTGATGGGCATCGCAATTCTCCAAATTTTACTTGAAATTTGAGCAATTGCTGCCATAGGTTCAATAATATTGGAACTGCGGCATCTTCATTCTATATAAGTTGAGTTTTGTCCTGGAATGCAGAATCATTCTTCTCCAGGAGTCTCAACTTCTTGGAGAATTTGTGCATTTTTTGTACCAATGTACATTGTACAGTATCCCCAATTTTGTAATATAGAAATCAGTCTTGTAATACACAACATATCAACGAGGCACTGATGGCCCATTTATGACAATTGGTTAGAAGGGTAAAAGAATCATCCAAAGAGAAATAAAATGGAGGATAATGATTATTCTAACAAATCTTACTTTCCAAAGTCGCCTTTTTGGTTGTTGGAAGACTTTCTTATTTAAAGTCTAAATGTGAATTGGAGGATCTCCTTTTTAAGGAGGGTATATGGATGGGAGAGAATACTTTTGTCCGGTTTATTTTTACCGTCTAGCACAATTGATATGCATTTAGCTTCTTTTTTTTGTTTGGGGTAGGGCAGTTTAAAATTTTATAATCTATCATGTGCTTATGTTGCAGAACTTTTGGCACAATTGAAATTGGTACCGAGGATGACACTAATGCATTTTGCACCAACCACTAATGATTAAATATTAAAAAGTAGGACTATACTAATAAAACAAAAATATAAAGGTTAAAAACACACCTAAATTATTTCATTTTTTTAAGTTTTATACCTAAACTATTGAGATAGTGTGTTTCATACATAAACTATCACTTATTAGTTTGAGAAACACATTTCTCTCTTTTATAACACTCTTACCAAAGTGTGTATTGTGTAATATACTCTCTTTAATTTAAAAAAATTATCACATTACACTCCACATAGACAAAATATTCCACCTTGACAAAAACTAATAAATTATGTGTTAGTTAAAATCAAAGATTAAAAATTATTATCCCAAAAAAATACTTTTTTCTATAAAATAAAATGTAAAATATTTTTCTTACCCCATTTCATCACTTCCTCTCACTGTACACTCTCACTCCCCCCATTTTTTTGTTTGAATTTATTTTATAAAAGTATTTAATTTTGTTTACTTCCCCATCTTCAAATACTAATTTAGATATTATTATATTTAAAAAAAAAAAAAAAATTACCCACTCCACCTAACCTTCTGCTTTCAATCTTTTTCTCGTTTTGTGTTAGATATTATGTATCGAAAATACTTTTTACTTGCCGCCACACGACTTTTTAAAAAAAAAATTATTTATGTTATATTCGGTACACAAGTAGAAAAAATATTCCTAAAAATATATGTACATATCTAACACAAAATGAAAAAAATGTAAAAAATAAATAAAAATAATTAGGAACAGAGAGTTAAATAGGATGTGGTAGAATTTTTATTTTTTAAAAAATAAAATAATATCAATTTTTTGGGGGGAATGAGTGGGTGGGTGGTTGTGGGGTGAAGTATGAATTTTTATAAAAGAAATTTAAAAAAAATAAAAGGATAGAGGATTGTTGGCCGGGGGGGTGGATGTGGTGGAAAGGGTAAGAAAATTAATTTAAATTTTATTTTTTAAAAAAGTATTAATTTTCGGGATAGTGATACTTAAATTTTTAATTTTTAATTAATATTAATAGTTTATTATTTAATTTTTATCAAGGTGAAATATTTAATCCATGTGAAATATTATGTGTCAATGTTTTTTCAAATAAAAGAGAGTGCATTACATACACCGCTGAGGTGTGTTTAGTTTAGGTATGAAACTCAAAAAAAAGGATAATTCAGGTGTATTTCTGTCACTTATCTCTAAAATAAACTCAAACTTAAAAAATGGTTAGAAAAAAGTGTACTCTAATTGCTGAGAAGTTGATTTGAATAATTTTTTAGAGCTATTTTATGGAGAGTAAAATATTTTTTATACTTCATATAAATGTAGAACATGCCTACTAAATTACCAAACTCACGTCTAACTTACAGAAATGATTGCAAATAATTCCAGTTAAGCTGTTTAGTGTTTGCCTTGTTACTACGTAACTCTCTATGGGCCATCCAAGTTTCACATCGTTATTAATTGTCCCACCCCATTCCTTCCTGCTTAAATACTGTACTGCCATTTATCGAAATTCTGGACTCTGCTAGTATATCTAGAGTACATGATTCTAAAAGACCATTTAATTATCTGTTTAAGGCTATGTAGTTGATTAGGTTGCAGCCAGAATCATATGCGCCAGTCACCAGACAGAGGAAACCAGAACATTAATTACACTAGTAAAACAATCACGCGAGCTCAAACTATCAACAGCCAGCAGCTAATGCAGAATGTCTTGCCTTACAGTCAAACCTAGTATTCTCGTAAACTACAAAAACAATTTATAAGATTATGCCTCAAAGAGATAAATGAGCATTCTATCAAAGTGTTCTCATCAACGTAGTATATTCCCCTTACAAATCATGCTAGCTAGACCTACCTCTTCAAACATATGCTATTCCCCTCCCCGTCCCAGCATCTGCTGCCTTCTGACAGACTACGAGTGGAATAATAAAGTGTACAATTAGTAAATGGGAAGTAGAGACACAATTTTCTCCATAAGGAAGAAGAAATAAACACCATTGGCATGTCCATCTCCACAAACCAATGCAACGCTCTCCTAGTCCAAGTTGATACCTTGGGGCAACATCGCAGTTGTCTCCAGGATTGTCTCACTATCTTTATCAACTGCGAATTTGTTCCAACCTGGTCCTCGAACAGATAATATTTTTGCCCGATCAAGGCCACCTCCTCGGAAGCCTGTTATTTTCGATGAAACCATGGGCATCACCAGCACTGATGATGCATGAAGTGAGTCTTCTCCAAAGCCTAGTGATACTGAACATGCAGCCTGTGTGAAAGTATATTCTTTAGATATGTAAGCATGAAATATCCTTCATGGAATAGTAAATACGGACAACCATCAGAACCTTTGCCTTTACAATCATATTAGCAGCTTTCATCAGCATAACTCGTCCAAATGATCTTATATCCTTAATTTGGGAGTCTTCAGATGGCATTAACAGCCTGACATGTGCATAAATACCAATAAAAAGGCAGGAATCAGGGAATAACAGGTCATTCTGCTAAGCAATTTTAACCATGAGGAATTAATGACGAGATAAAAGCAAGAATTTACTACTCAATCTCCAATAATCAATGTCTACATAATAAGAGGTGGAGACCACATACCTCTCCTCATCCTGTGACAAATTTGAAGTTGTTGAAACTAAAGAACCATCCTTCACTTCACCTCCTGCAGATATTACTTTTAAGTCTTTCATGCCCTAGGCACATTTTATTATCAAGAACCTGTGATTTAAAATGACAATACCTTTTGATTCATCTGGGGCAAGCAAAGAAATGCCCACAAATACAGAAATCATTCCAAGAATAAACATTGTCGTTCTTAATGCATCAAAGACCTGTGTAAATTTACAATTTTAGGTTTTTAGTCTGCAAACTCACTTGAAAATCAAAGTTGAAACAATTGTCATCCTAGATACAGCAATCAACTAGACTACCAAAATGGAGACCATAGATCTTTCTCCCAACTTTATTGTTAGATTGTCAATATAGCAAGAGCACGCTCCTTGTAAATATGGTAAGGTTTGGAATCCTAATAGTTCTGTAATTAGAACTAAGTTCTTGTTACAGGAGGAAATCTATTAATTTGGAAAAGCAAAAAGCAAGATGTAGCAACTAGATCAAGAACCACAGTGGAATATCGAGTAATGGCTTTGGCCACATGTAAGCTTATATCCTAAAGAAAGATCTTGAAGAGTTGAGAGGTACAGGAGGTGCACCAATGCAATTGATCTGTGACAATCAAGCTGCAATATACATTGCTTTAACCCAGTATTTCACGAGAGAACAAAGCATATAGAAGTAAATTGTCATTCATTCAACAAAAAATTTAGTCAAGGTGCATTGCGACAGGTTTTATCAACCCCAGTGATCAATTAGAAGGCATTCTCATAAAGTCACTGTAACTCCAGTGTTGAATCTGTATTAGTGGCATGTTGAGAGCAAATAATATGTACATTCCCACTTGAGAAAGGCTGTTAGAACTTGAAAATTAGTAGTATGAGAAGTGATTACTCTTTGTAAATATGGGAAAGGTTTAGAATCCCTATATTTGTGCAACTAAAATTAGGAATTATTTCCCTTTCCTCTTTAGGAATACTTGTAAACGCTATTTTAAACCCAAACATGTTTGAGGAAATAATCAAGCAATTTATGCCCAACACACATTCATTTCTAATTCTTTACATCCATTTTAGAAAAGGAAAGGGTGAGGAGAACATGCCCTGCCGTAGACACGGAGAACGAGCAAACCTGGTATTCCTGAAAGTACACAAATCCTGTACAAATGGAGAAAAACGTCCAAGTGATTTGAAACATAGGGACAATAAGTATTGCATCAAAGAACGAAAGTCCTTCATTTAACCTTGCCATCTGCGAAGATGATAAATTCAAGAACAGAGTCAGTTGAATTACACATGTTTCAAGTATTCTATATTTACAACAATTGAACGATAACGCAATGAACGAGTCCATCACTATTACCCAAAATCCAGCTGTACTAAGAAACAGCAGGAGCATGGAATACGTGAACCAGCTGTGCAATGAATAACCACTTGACATGGACAATCTTAACATGTTTGAACTACAAATAGAAGTAATCAGCGTCAAATGTATAATATTCAGTTCTTCCATAGAAGGCAAAGAACCATATATTCCACTTACAGAGACTTCGCAAACAATACCGAACATGATCCAACAGCACCTGAAACAACTGCATACGAAAATGGAAGCAGCATGTGCCAATATGGCTTACTTTCATTCATAGGGACAGCAAGCATCAGTTCTCCTCTCCTGCATGATTGACATTAGATATGCAAGAACTACCGAGATAAGCATCCTCTTTCTCCAATACAGATCTATAGAAAATATGACAAATTAATGATTTGTTGTTTTTCAAACTTAGCATTGTGCTTTCTACTGCTGCAATGTTTAGAAGGATATCCAATTTAAATTTATTTTGAAATAAATTTACATATTTAGAAACTATATAGAAAGTATTATAGGTCACAATAGTAAACAATTCAAAATATTTTAAAAGAATTTAAAAAAATTATGGTCAAGGAAAGTATCCTTTGACACTTCAATTAGTAACTAGGACACATAAAGTGGAACTGTGGCACAGAGAGCGTAATAAATTCCACCAATGAACGGCAAGACCCACTCATTTACAAAAATTATACCAAAAAGCAAAAACCTTACAAAAAGATATAATCCCTACAATGACACCAATCATCTAACATTACCATTTGGATGTGGAGTGTGGAGGAATATCATCAAGGGTTGGGTAGATTTTTTTTTATGATATATCTTTTAGGATAGGGGATGGGAGTAGAGAGAGCTTTTGGGGTAACATGTGAGTTTCCAAGCATTTACAGGTTACCTTGTCAAAGGGAGGCAGTAATTCAGCAAATTAGGGAAAGTGTGGATCAACACATCACTCATACTCTGTCCACCGGTCCAAAACAGAAAATTATCATTGAACCATCGTTTTCCTCCATTGAGAATCTCCAGTGCTTGCTCCTCATTAACAAAACGAAACAAGAAATGGGTGTCGTTCATTTGCGTAATCTTCAACATAGCCACTACAGTTTCAAACGACCTTCGATGAACCTACCCATTTAGAAAAAGCCCAGCCAAATAGGATTTCAAAAGTCCTTCTCTTTAAAGTATGTTCTTCCGACAGAGAGAAGATGGGCTCTCTCGATGGCTCCTTCCTTTGACATCTTCCTCCTAAATCCAAAGTTGGTCAAGCTAAAGCTTCCTTGAAAGACATGTTCTCCATCTTCCTAGAATTTAGAGAAAAGTATGAGCTTCTCTCTGGAAGTCATCCTATATTTTTACTTTTTTTTATTAGGTAAATAATCAATACACATCTTGTATTTTATGACCTGACCTGACCACACCATTTTTTAAAGGAATGGGACTCCATCCAAATTCACCACCAAACTACCTGTAATACCTTGGAACTTGGAAAAAGGATAAAATTAAATTTCTGAACTGAAGTCTGGTTTCAGGTCCCATCTACGGACCGTAGATGCTTCTACGGTCCGTAGATGGCAACGTAGGAAGTGGAAAATAAATTTCAAAAAAAAATCACATCCCAGTACCCCTTTTTATGGTTCACCAGGACGGTCTGTTAACCATTGTATGAGTCGTAGGTAGGTCTCGTAGGTGAGTCCCAGACTTAGTAAAATTTTAAGGGGTAAAGTTGGTTTCTACGAATGGCATGTACAGACCATAAGAAGACCTACAAGTCTTACATGGGTTCCGTCAAAAGTTGGTCTAAATAATAGTTTCTAAATAATAGCTTTTGAACCTATCTACGGTGACCAGTACAGTCCGTAGAAGGACCTAGGGACCGTAGGAGAGGCTCGAAAGTTATTTTTAAAGGTTTTTTGGGTCTTTTTCTAATTGTTTTAACCTAAAACTATGTCGTTTTCCTTCTACCTTGAGCTCTATATAAACGTTTTAAGCCCCCAATTTACCCATTTCAACTCATTCTCCTAAATTCCCTAAACTTGACCAAATTCATACTCCCAATTCTCTCAAGTTTAAGGAAGAAGAAAAGAGCTAGGGTTCCATTCAAGTCTACCAATTCTCCATTTTTCTTGGGCCTAAAGGATCAAGGTATGTGTGTATTCACTCATGGAGTCCTTTCCTCCATGGGGTCCCCAAGGATTTCAATTCCCCAATTCAATTTCAATTGATTCAAGTTAGGGTTTCAATTCAATAAATGTGGATTTCATCCAATTATGATTGATTATCATTAATGAAGTCTTCTAATGCATTACTTGATGTTAATCTATGATATTTAGTTGAAATTTCAATTACCCATGCCTAAATTATGTTTTTCAACCATGATCCTATGATGAATCCATGAACTATGAATTATGAATTTATGAAGATATGCATGTTTTCATGAAGTTATTGTAAATGAATTATGATGTTTTGAAAGGAAAGTATTGATGCTATTGTGAAAGGATTTCTCACTTACTATGATGATCATGATTGTGAAAGGTATTTCTCACAAATGAATTCACATTGCTGAAAGGTTTTCTCATTCATGTTGAATTATGTTTAAGGAGTTATTCTATGTTTTGATCTTGAAAGACATGGATTGGTAGTGATCATTGCATTTCCCTATGTTAAATTGGTATTTTGACTTTTATCCATTCCGTTGGAATTAGACTTAGCACCAAGAGGGCTTCGAGGTGGAGGCTCAAATAGGGTAGTCTCTACTAGCAACCTCTAGTCCCAAACTACATGCCCCGTAGGATGTCTTAAGTGACCTAGCGAGTGGATTATGTACGGATTCTACCTTGGCAAGTAGTTTTCCCTTCTTTCGGTACGAGGAATATACCAGATTACATGATATAGCTCTCATGGTCTTATTGTCGGTTAAAACTAATATCCCAAACAATGACTATGTTTTCTTCAAGCTTTTCTTATGTCCTTTATGTTAATGTATTTGACTATGTTTTATGATCTTCATGTCATTTCTTCTCTATAAGCTTTTAATTGTTTCGTTATTCATTTTAAGTCATGTATATTATCATGTTCATGTTTATGCATATTGCCTCATACTTGGTACATTCCATGTGCTAATGCATACGTGTGCCTACATTGTTTCACTAATGAAGGGTCTAACGCTCCTACCTCTCATACTCGTGGCTAGTTGATCCTTCAGAGGCTTCGAAGACTGGTGAGTCCTCATGTTTCGAGGACTGAGATTCTTTATTGTTTTATGTCATTTTTGTTTTCGACTTTGTATGTGATGTATGGGTTACGTCCCAATCACTTTCCTTATGATGTATTAGATGGCTTTGAGACTTATGATTAAACTTCCGCTTTTTGTCAAACTCTATTGATGTATGAAATGCTATCTAAGTCTTTAATTCTATTATCTTGTACAATGTAATGATGTATGTTAAGTGGCTTGTCTAGGGCCTCTCGGGGTTCTATACGCCATGTTACGCCTAGGGTATACTTTAGGTTGTGACACTACCCCATTTTAGCTTATATTGAATCACTCGACCTTACATGTTTCTAGGAAAAGCAATATGATCCCACTCCACTCAAATGACACAGAGACATTTCTGGGAACAAGTAAAGCTAGAGTTCTCGTCCGGTATATGTCAACCTTCTCTTCTTTCTACGAACACGACATTTCTTCAACTACTAAACCCTAGTGGCAATCTCCTTTTTTACCTTTGATAAGGCTGGCCAAGTGATATCTCTATAGGCTTTTACTGGTTACAAAATCTGATTCTAGATTGTGCGCAAATCTAGCATTCTCTTATTCATTAAAACAGTCCTATGTTGATTGGAAATTTGGATCAATCCAAAAAAATCAGGAAATAATTCCGATTGTTGAGAACATTGTACTTCCAAAACCAGGAAGAACCTAAAAAGAAGGGAGAGTAAAACTTATAACCAAACAGCTCCTTAGCATCCACTTCTAAATTTACCAGTATATAGAGGTGAACCCACGTGGAAGGGTGGAGTGTACGTGCACCTGTTAACTTCGGAAAAGTTATGTATATATTTTTCTTGAGAAAGAAAGTTATGTATATATATGTATATATATACCTTGAGATATGAAAATATATTTTAGTAGGCACCCTAAGACACAGAGAAGAGTTCGGTGCACTGGTTGAAATTGCCGCAAAGCTTCTTTTCTCCACCTAAAGGAAGTGGGTTCGAATTTTGTATCCAGCTTTTCCTTGGGTTTTCCCCTTTTTAGCTAAAAGAAGCTTTAAAAATGGATAAAACAAGGGCTGGCAAGTTTCAAACACACGACCTCATGGGTGTTAAGTGAAGTTTGCATCTGAGAAATATAGGAGAAGAATACTATTCAATTGTGTATCTACATTGTTACATTGAAACCCTACTTATACACACTATGTTAGACTCCTTTTCTAACTAGGATTACTGTTCCTATTCTAAGTAGGATTGTATATACGTATTCCTATTCTGACAATATTTAGTGAACCTGACTTACAAAAGTAGAACTAGTCCCACTTAAGTTGATATTTGACTATAATCATAGCCATGAAGAATCAAAAGGGACACACAGCAATTCTTAGCATAGTCACTTTAGTTGTGGCATGTATAAGCATGCGTGGAGAACAAAGAGAAGTTGAAGTCCATAACTGGAGATGAAGGCAGGAAAGACATCACAAGGAGCAAGCGCCACAGTTTATAGCAAGAGTTTTTATTTTCACCTGGTTATAGCCATCAATAACTCATTTGGTCAATAAGTAGGTTAAAGATGTTAAATTTTCGAAATTTACTTTGAAGGTATATATCCCAAATTCATTACTTCTAGCAGGCTAAGTTTTTATAAGTCACGGTATTTGACATGTTATTTTTTTTTCTTTTTTTGAAGTATTTGACATGTTATTTATAAAGAATGCTATCTATGTTGCTCAGACCCTCCAAAAATGTTGCCGCACCCATGTCATATCATCCAAAAATGCATAGTTTTTGAAGGATCCGACACACACCCAATGGTATTTTTGAAGAACTCGAACAACATCGAATACTATTACTTGACACCAAAAAAAGGTACAGAGATTATTGACTGTGCCATTGTGACTTACTTGTATATTGAATGATGTAAAGCAACAACTAAGACCAAAGTGAGACAGTATAGAAGAAACGTAATGTTGCTGTACTTCTCAGCCAACTGCTCCGGCGTGTAAACTACAAAGAAAGGATGATAATAAAATATAATCTGTTGGAAGCAAGTAACAATCTTTTCTTCTTTTCTACTTTATTTGGTTCGATAAGGTAAACATGAAAGCATATACAATCATACATTACTATAAAGCAGAGCATATGATTGTCTAAATGCATAGTTAGTATGTACCAAAAAGAATGACACATTTCTCTTTGTTGGAAAATATATTATCTTAGTATCCCCATTTTTAAGTAAGGAATTGGCTCTCTGAATGGTTTGAACAATTTGCCTCATGCTCTAAGAGTAATACCCGAAATTCCAATTTCTTAGCAAGAAAAAAAAAAGGAAATAAAGAACAACAATAGAATTATGGGGTAATAAGGCTTGTTACTGATGTCACATGAAATGTGGGTAAATTTTCAACTTAAGCTGGCAGCATGCACAAGGACTCAAGTACCCAGAACTGATTCAAGTATGAAGATCACCGAGCAGCGAAAAGATACATCAGGGTACAACACAATCAGAAAAAGATCAAATGCTCAAGCAATGTCTAGTAGAATGCAACCTTATTGGCGACTTATTTTTTTTGATAAGGTAAATAGTTTAACCTTATGGCAACTTATAAACATAATATGCAGCCTACATCTGCTGAATATACTATGTACAATCCTTTTCCTGCAACTTTCATAGGCCTTTTTCCCCTTCTCAATTCAGCCACTTTAGGTCTTACAGGTTATTGATAAGACAACTACCCAGTGTAATCCTACAAGTGGGGTCTAGGGAGTGTGGGGTGTATGCAAACCTTACCCCTACCTTTGTGGTGTAGAGAGGGTGTTTCCGATAGACCCTTGGCTCAATAAAAATGTTGTTCAAAACAGGCTTCAAAACACAAGAGTAACAAAGTTGTTTTAGCATAAATCAACAACCTTTATAAGGTCCACCATCATCTAGCATAAATTTCACTTTACTTGAGTGTATATGCTAAAATGGTCTGAACAGTCTCATAAGCAAATAACATGGGTTCCTGGTTTTTTTACAAAAAATAAGATCGAAAGTGTTGGTAGCAAGATATAGGCGAAATGGTATGATGGACCCTTGTACTTGTATCAATTTGTATTCTGGACCCTTTTACTTAATCATTTGTCAACTGAACCCTTAGACTCAATAAAACACAATTTAACAAATCCCTCTGACCATTGACCACACTTATGTGGCATTAAAATGTCTGAGTTGGCAAAAGTGTGCAACTTCACGCTCCTTTAGGCGAGTGAATAACTTTTTTTTTTTAACGCCAATATGAATTATTGATAGGCAAAGGCACCACAATACATGTCCGTATATATTGGAAAGGACCAAGTGCCCCATCCTGATTCATTCAGTGAACATAGAAACATCCCAAAAGTTAGCAAAAACGTAACTATTTGGGTTAGGAGAGAGTTTTCATCAACAGATCCAAACTCTTAACCCTAGAAAATCAACCATGTCTTCCAAGCAAGGTGGAAAAGCAAATTTTTGGGTTAAATTTTATTTATTTTTTTAACAGATCAAAGTCTACATAGTAGATTGAACAATAACTCAAGAAAATTGGAAAATTGTTAAAATCAGATTAAACATCATCAAAACTTTCTTCCAACAAGTGATAAATAAAGTTGCCAAACTCATCAATCATAGCTACTTTTCTTAATAACAATCGGGCAACTTCCGAATAGGATCCAAAACAGCATCAAATCAAATGCCTCTTCACTGGTCAGCAGGCAAACTTTTAATAATGTCAGAATCACCTGGGTCAATAATACTGTACTCCAACCGTTGCCAACATAGCATAGTACTCTATCTCAGACTTCCTGATAGGAGGACAGTTGTTGGCAATGATACCAAGTTTTGCTTTGGAGCTTCTAATAGTCTTGAGAACAGTTTTGTATCCCAATGGTCATGGCGGTGAAGAGGTTTTTCGGCCAGATCTAGTGATGGTTGGAGGCGGAAAGGAAATGGTGATGGTGTGCGGCGGAGATGAAGACAGGTGAGGGAGAGAGTATATGTGATTTCGCTGGCAAAAGTGGTGACGACGCCAGCGATGGCTTCTCCAGTAGATGTTGGCCGTGAACAGAGAAAATGAGGAGAATCAGATGTATGAAGGTTTACTATAAGAATAAATTAAAATTTTATTATTTTACCTTTTATTAAATAATTTTGGTTAATAATTTTAAAAAAAAGTTATGAAATTTATGACATGGCACTAATATATATGACGTGGATATGACATGTCATTTATGTAAAGGAGAGTGAGCTACACACATGGGTGGAGGGGCTTAAAAGTATCATTTTAATTGAGTCTAAGGGTTCAATTGACAAATGGTTAAGTAAAAGGGTCTTGAATACAAACTGATACAAGTATAAGGATCCATCAGACCATTTCGCCCAAGATATATACAAGGCACTGTCATAGTACGGGATCAACTTAGAAGTATCAAGTAGGGAGTCGACTATATGTCAGTCCTATAACAGATTTTCATGGTATGAGATATTCTTTTGTAAGGTAAATAATTTTATTTATATTGGAACAACTCCTGTATACACGTAGTATCCAAAAATTGATTGAATGTACAAAATATGGTACTCTTTTTTTTAGGTATACAAAATATGATACTCTATGGAAGAAACCCAATATTCTGTACAAATACAAGCAACTAAAACAACAAGCTTTTCACCTTCCATCACATACCAGGTGACTGGTGGTTGCCAAAGGCTACAAGGAAGATGTTTCCAAGAACAATAAAGGCAGTGGCTACCAGTACACTGCAATACGAAAGATATTTATCAGACTGTAACTTGTATAATGAGGATAATAAGTACCATACATCAGCAATCAATTCTATGAATTGCTGGTAGTCTATACTCAGGTCCTTATTGATTTTAATAGAAGAAATTTAAATGTTATCTTACTTGATTGTCACTGTTTTGTTCAAAACAAAGTAGGCAAAAGCTATGTTCGAGACAAATTGTATAGATCCCAAAGCTGCTAGAAGTGACTGCCAAAGAGGAAACACCAAGATGATAAAGGAAAAAACAAAATACACATCATCCAGAAAGGGTAAATTTTGCTGCTAATGCACTGAAACTGATACTGTGTAAAAAACAACAGATAATGCATCATTTAAGGAGATGCGCAGGAAGAATAACTGTTTCAGTTTTGACCCTTTTATTCTAATCAACTAAAGCAACACCATGCGTGATGTGTTGAAAGAGTGAGAAAATCAGAGATGAGAGCGGAAAACTAGTCTTGATAGTTTGTACACCCAATCTTGTATTCAGTCGTACATCCAACAGGTTACATCCTTGTAATCCATCTGACAACATGCTTGTGCCCAACCATTAGACTTCGCATAAGCATGTTCATTAAATAAAAACTGAAGCCTTTTTCCTTTTTAGACCAATCTCTTTCTATTTTTTCTTTATCTAAAAGTAGCAACATCACTACAAAGTTCACTTACTTGTGTTGAAAAACAAGCTAAGAAGCTATATGTAATATGATTTTACCATTACGATTTACGCTACAAAATGGAAACGAAACCCTTTTGGCTGGTGATATCTTTTATATGCATGTAGATTTATATTTTAAAAATACAAATTAAGTCATGCATGATGTACTTCATAAATTAGTCAAAATGACAAACAGATAGTGTTGAACTGCATGAACCACCGGATAAATGTGATATTTTGCATAATGTCTGGCAATTCCCCTATCAAGGAACAATTTTGCGCTTATTGTTAAGTGATTTTTAATCAATTTGAGGATGAATCTCATGGTTGTGTTTTTTATGCATGGGAAGAAGGATAGATAAAAAGTGGTAATGAGAAAGCAAAAAGGAAACATTAGACAATGAGAACAGAGTGAGAAAAAGGGATGTCCCACTGAGCCTGCAACCGCAGACAAGAGTTCCAAGTAGTGCATCGACTGCAGCACCTTAATTACCGACTGAGGACTGCCAAATTGAAGTGCTGAAATTGATTCGAGCTAGCATTCAAACTGAGATGGAAATTGTGACTGCAGCTCTCGTTTCCTTTTTTTTTCTTTTTTATCAGGGCCATTGTGACCTCAACTCTCTAACAGCAAGCCTTAAATAGTCATCTTTTGATTCTTAAGATCTAAGCATTTTTATGGAGAATAACTCTTGGGCTTTTTCTTCGATACGAAGAATATTTTGATGGATAGTTTTCATCTACATATGTTTTGCGTTGTTCTTGGATATGATTTGTAACTAAACGTTCTAGCTAGGATTGTGATGAACCATAATGCTTTCGTTAAAGTGATTTGATTCTTTCAATCTTGTTCGTACTTGGATGAAGGTTCATTTATTCAATCTTGCTTTGTATTGTTTCTTTTGATGACCCTTGCTTTGTATCATTTCTACTTGTCTGATCAACAAGGTGCTCAATATTAGGTTAAATAAGGTGCTCAATATATCTTTTGAAAAAGGTACAACTTTTTGAAAATCTTAAGTTTTTAATTCATCTCCTTCATAATTAATAGTAAAATAGTAAACTTACTATGTCAATCATTGCTTTCTTAATATGTGTGTCAATTCAAAAGTGGACAAGTAATTAGGGACAGAGAGAGTACCATTTCATGGGGAATCAGTTAGTCGGTATTCTAAAGCAAAAAATGAAAACCAAAAAAGGAGGTTAAATTAAATCAAAAAACCTTTTTTTATACGGAAAAGAGTCAAAAATACCAAACTATGTGAAATTGAACAAAAAATGGCCTCTGTTAATAGTTTGGCCAAAAATGCCCTTATTGTTAATTAATTGAGTCAAAAAAGTCATTTTTGTGATAAAACATATTGTATCTTATCATTTTAAACACATTTTTCCAAATAAAAATAATGTTTTTGAAGGACCCATTTCTTGTTTCTTAATTTTAAAATCCCTTTACTAGTAAAAAGCGGCAAGTAACTACTTTTCATTTCAATCTCGTTTTATCAATTAAAATCAAATAATGTCATTTATTTTTTAACCTGTAATATAGGTCGTATATATAAGATCATAATAACCCATCATTAGTTTCGTTTATATAATGATAACAAAAAATAAAAAAATGAAAATTATAACATTGTTTCAAATCACAAAATATCTTTAAAATATCAATGATGGGGTTATTATTGTTGACCTTTAATTCATTTTGAGTTTAAAATCAAGGAATATATTGGCTAATGCTTATCTTATTTCAAATCGAAAAAGATTAAGAAATAAAAAAAATTCATATTTTATCAAGAAAAAAAATTATCATTACCTATATGAAAATTAATGGTGGGGTTACTTGATCTTATATATATATACACATATATACATATATTATCAGTTTAAAAAGGCATGAGGTTATTTAGTTGTAATTGATAAAACGAGATTCAGAAGAAAAGATCTATTCTATTTTTCTTATTAGTTAAAGGGATTTTATTTTTAAAAAAAAAATTATCATTAAAAAGGGGAATTTTCAAAGAAACGAAACAAGAAAAATGTTCTTTAAAAACATCATTTTTATCAGGAAAAAGAATGTGCTAAAAAGAAAAGAAACAATATCTTTATTAGGAAAAGAGCATTTTTGGCTGAATTAAGTAACAATAGGGGCATTTTTGGGGTCAAACTATTAACAACGTGGGCATTTTTGGACCAAACTATTAACAAAGAGCATTTTTGTTCATATCACTTAGATTAAGGTAGGGGTAAGGATGCGTACATACCATCCTTACCGAACCTCTGGGATTACACTAGTATGTGTTAGTTGTCGTTAACATAGGTTAAGGGCATTTTTTACCCTTTTTCAGTCTTTATAAATAAATCAAAAAACATTTTTACTCAACACAGAATCATTTTCAACAGATATTACCTACGAGGCTTCTTCCTCAAATAGATTATCAATCACACCATCTCACAAGCTTGTCTACAGTAAAATGAAAAGGAAAATGCAAAGAATTGCAGCAAGAACACTCAATTTGATTTGCCTCTTATTCTATGGATGTTGGACCTTTTCTGAAAGAGATTCAGTGAAAGAAAAAGAAATAGGAATAAGTTGTGTCGGTTGGGTTATACCCTAAACCTTACGCAACAGTAACTCAATTGTTTTACACCTCAACATAACATTAGGCAAGTTGGTTGTAACCTCCCCCTCTCCCTCTCCCCTGATCAATGTTGTCAAAAATGTGTTTAAGCCCTGAAGTGAGGCACAAAACATGGTGAGTGCTACACTTCAGTGTCATTATTAAGGCTCTAAGACATATTTTTCCTAGCCGCTCCGAAAGAGGCTGGCACTAAACAATTGATATCTCACTTATCATAATATTTTTTTAAAAATTTATCCATATATTTATAACTAGTAAAATTACCCGCGCCTCGCGCGGAAATTTAATATGACGGGATTTATAAAATAATACTTAAAGCCTATCGATCATTAAAACTAAAACACTATATTATCTTAGATACAAGATTACGTAGTAACGAACATTAATAATGTAAAGGAAAATAATAATTATAACATCTTATCATTTATACTTCAATCAATCATCTTTAATTTTATTTTATAATTTATCCTTTTGCTTCTAGGAAGTGGTACTATTTGATATTTTGGGGAATCAAATGAACATCAACCTGAGATATTAAATTTTCTAATAAATAAAAAATCGTTGGTGAAAGGATAAATAAAATTTTAAAGGCCGAAAAAAGTGAAAAAATATTCTAATTCTATTGTGTAGAAAGTTCAGCCCTACCTCTTGCTTTACATATATCATTTTAAAGTTCCTCATTCAAATGTATCAGAAGTAATTATTAAAATGGAAAATTAAAGAGGTATCAAATTGGACAACAATTCAACTTATTATATATACTTGAAAGGAAAAATTATTACACAAAACTATTCAGTTTGTTTGGGTGTTCTTTAAAAATCAACATACCGCAGTGATGAAGTTCAATTTGATACACTTCTATTCCAATCGCAGTGTCGAGAAACCCTTTTATTACTACAAGAAAAGTATTTACAACTTACAGTAAACTTGAGAATTTGTCCATACTTCATATTGAATATTGGGAATTAATTTATTGTGTAGTTATCTATGTATTTGGGATTAAAACAAGCTCCAGTCTAGTCATATTCCTCTATAGGTCATCTGGCATATCATTGAACCCATGTCAAAAGTTTATTAATTATTGTCTTCTTTTTCTAGTTCACTTCGCACATCAAGGTGAGATAAAGTTTTTAAGGTCTATATGTCCTTACAATGGCATACCAAATTTGAATTTTGTCTTCCAGAGATGGTAGTGTAGATCTTTAAGGAAATTTTTTTATTGTACCTTCAACAATTTTAGTAGAGAAAACTTGTGTAAATACTCAATTAACGTATGTTATTTAATTTGTACTAACAAATACTTATAACAATAACTTTGTAGAAACATAAACAACATAGTTTAAAACATGTACTCAAAAACAGCAATTAATAACGCATAAATTAATAACTGTTAAAAAACATACCAGGATCTGTAACAACAGAATGAAACAGAAAGGAAAAATCGAGCCCACTGAATGTACAGTGTCTCCTTAAGGAAATTATTCCCCTCTAGTACCCGAGGTTTAAAGGAATAGATCCTCTCAGGATAGAACGATTTTATTCACCAGTGTATTGATACAAAAACAATGGTGTGAGTGAACCACTCAACAGGAGTAAAGTACACGAATATTTAATTGTGCAGAAGAAGAAAAAGTAGTTCAAATTTTTTGTTGTTTTAAAATGAGAGGAAATCCCTCTATTTATTGACAAAATATAGTAGTGTGAACAAATGTTTATTGTGCCATATCAGAAAGGTCACGACTCTTTGAAAAAGTTACAACCCTTCGAAAAGGTGACAACCTTCCATAAAAGTTATAACTTTTCATAAAAGTCGCAACTCTTCATAAAAGTCACAACTTTTCATGAAAGGGGAAGGCTAGTTTTGGAAATAAATAAATTTAAAAGGAAATCCTGACTTGTGGTGGCACCACGTAGGCGGGCCTAGGGTTCTCTTTTATATAAATATATGATGATTCATGCTTATTAGTATTAGTCCCGGACGTCTTCTCAAAAAACATTATTAGTCTTGGACTAAACATATATATTAGTATTTTTTTTTCTCAATTTACACCTTTTTACTTTAAAGCCCTTTATTAGCGCTTGGTGCTTAAAGCCCCAATAGACCTTAAAGCTTTTTTGTGATTTTCGCTTTTGATAACACTACCCCTAGTTTACCTACTTTTCGTGCCCAAAGTCAACACAGCCCACTAAATTTGAAGACAAACTAGACAAGAACCAATAAGTACGGACCTGAGCAGCATATCCAAATGAAACGAAATTGAGACAATTTCCTATAGCAAAGAATAGAATACCTGTGTAAAAGATAACACCATCAATACACTAAAATGGGATCAGTACTTGTAAAGAGACAAACTCAAAAGCAATGCTTACCAACTCTCCATGTTTGGAAGTATATAATTGGCTTCATTGTAGACTTTACATTTGTTACCTCATTACCCAGCACAGAGTGCTTCTCCCTCTGAAATATTTATGATTCATTAGAGCTACTAAAGAAAATACAAGTCGAGCCTCTGGTGACAGAGGATAACAAGAAAAGAAAGAAAAGAACAAAAGAATATCAAAATACAGCCATACCAATAAATCATTACGCAAACCTCTCATAACATGCGACAAAGAAGAACTCAAAAACAAAATGCAGATGCTCTTACAAGATTATACTAATTCCAACAACTGAACAAATGGAAGTGAACACTTCTACACCAACCTATGCCTCCTTGTTAGATAACAAGCATGTCTCCGTTATATTGATGTCAAGCATATTATTCGTTGAAGAGCTTCTTAAATAATTCATCAGCGGGAGATTTTCCGTGGATAATGACTCATTTTTTTCCAATTTATTTGGCACACTTTTCATTTGAGATGGTACAATATGGTTGACAATTGGCATCATTCTATTTGTATGTAAGTTTCAAGATTTAAATACAATAAACTATTGGCTAGGTGATACTTCTTCTTGTCTTCTTTTCCCTGTCGGAAGAAGTTCCTTCTCAGTGCATCTATTCTTTTACTTACACTAGCAAGTATTGGAAAGATAGACATCAAATAAGAAAGTAAAGTGTCCGGTTCACTATTAATTAGTATCAATCTACCACCCCTAGATAGGTATTGGCTCTTCAAATTTGTTTATCCTTGTTCATTTCTCCACATTCCAAATCCTTGTTGATTTACTTTTAGTTCCCAAAGGCATTCCAAGGTAAGTTGTTGGCATCTCTCCCACCTTACCCCCAAGTCTGCTTGCAAGGTTCTCTATCTCATCTACTGTGTTGATAGGGTATATGAAACTATTTTCCCAGATTAGATGCAACCTAGAGACTGCTTCAAAAATAATAAAGATAACCTCAAAATTAGGATTTATTCCTCTACTGCCTCACAAAATATCAAGGTGTCATTTGTATACCGAAGGTGTATTACCTCCAAACTATTTTTCTCTCCCATTTGGAAACCTTTGATCCATCCTTTCCTCTTCGCCTTATTCAATAGGTTGTTCATTCCTTCCATAGCTAATATGAAGAAAAAAAAGAGGCAAGGGATCACCTTGTCTCAGACCTCTCTGAGATGGGGAAAACCCATTAGGTTCCCTATTGATTAATATTGAGAATTTGACTGTGTATACATTGTGATATCCATTTGATCCACCTAGGACCAAACCCCATTTTCTCCAGCAGTGGTAATAAGAACTTCCAATTCAGATGGTCATAAGCCTTCTGAATGTCCAACTTGCAAACAATTCATGGCTTCCTACTACCTTGTCTAGAGTCCACATATTCATTTGTAACTAACACTACATCCATTATTTGTCTACCTTTGATGAAAGGTCATTTGTTGTCTATCAACCAAACCATGAATTACCTTCTTCGGCCTTTCTGTCAGAAGCTTGGCTATGATCTTGTACACTCCCCCAATTAAGCTTATGGGTTTGTGGTCATTTAGCCCTTTTGCCCCTGCTTCCTTTGGAATCAATGTTACAAAGGTAGCTTTCATACTTCTCTTTTTTTGATGATCGTGGTTCCAGGCCAGCGTTCGCGCACCTTGACTAATTTCACTTGAAACCTGCCACCTCCCACCAGCAACAGGTACCAAGAAATTATATCCACCAAGGCTAGGACAGATGGAAAGAATCACCTAGTATTTTTTGTCTCCACTGAGTTTTGAACCTAAGACATCAAGGTTCTCAACCAATTCATTGACAATTAGGCGACCCTTAGGTGCATTTCCATACTTCTTTTTAAGAAATCCTTCTCATGAAAATTTTGAATTGCTGCTACAAGCTCCATTCTGATAATTTCTCAACACTACTTAAAGAACTCCATAGAGTATCCATTAGGTGAGGTGCCTTGTCCTCTACACAAGCTTTAATGCTTTCCAAAATCTCCTGGAATTCAAAAGGTGCCATCAATAACAAGTTCTTCTTATCAATAATTTTGGGACAGTTTTCCATTTGTAGATATGGTCTTCATTCCTCTGTTTCTACGTATAGTCAAAGTATGAGACTATCTCTGTCTTCATCTCTTTTGGATCCTCCACCATAACCCTACCCACCTTCAACTTGTCAGTGGTATTGAATTTCCTAAGGACATTTTCAATTTTGTGGAAAAAGCTTGTCTTCTTATACCCGTATTTTAGCCATGTTGCTCTGGATCTTTGTCTCCAAACAATCGCCTCCTTCCTTATTATGTCTTAAAATTCCATTGTGAGAGATAATATGGAGGCAATATTCTCCTACTGCAAAGCTCTGTTCTCATGTATCTACTCTATTGCATCTAGTTGAGCCAAGACATTTTGTTTTTGAGTCCCTAAGTTCCCCTATATTGTCTTACTCCATTCCTTTAGTTTAATTTTTAGAGCTCTCACTTTTGCCATTAGAATAAATACAGGATTGCCCTCATAATTGAATAAGTCCCACCAATCCTTTACCCTCTCATTGAAGCCTTTTGGCTGCAGCCATCACTAGTTCTCAAACTTGAAGTAAGATTTTAATTTTTTCCGTTCTCCACACTATAGCATAATGGGAGCATGATCTAAAACTATTCTTTGTATTATAGATTGTTTGATGTGTCCGAAGATGTCATCTATTTCATAAGAGATGAGAAATCTATCCAATCTTGCTGCACTTACATGTCTATCACCCCTCTTCCATGAATACTTTCCCCCTTCCATATCAAGTCTACTAATTTATGTCCTCAATGAACTTTGAAAGTTTGTCATAACTTTATTGGTTCTCTTGTTCCCCTCTTCTTACTTCATGTTCCCCTCTAATATTGGACGCACTTATCACCCCTAAATAATCTTGCTTCATATATGTGTAATATGACTTACGGCAAACATTGATCAACTTCAACGTGTCCTCCATCCAACCATATTGTTATCTCGTAAAATCAAAAGTGTTTGAGTCACTTCTTATGCAGCCATGTTATCAACCCGCATAACCAAAGTGTATCACAATTCCATTATTAGTCCAACAGTATTGAGTCACTATTATTTGCTTTAATACTTGCATTTAAGATTGTTGGATAGATTTAGTAAGCCAAAAAGAACATGTGTTGTCCATCTCTCTCATCAAAGTTTGTACAGAAATGAAAACTAATGCCTAAGTAGATAATATCACATTAAATTCAACACTGATGCATCATGAATACTTCTTACTGCGTCCAATCAATGATTGCAACAAAAAGAGAAACCCATAAATAGACAGGTGTAATGGGAATGGAAGTGTACAAACAAACAAGTTATTTGTATAAAGTCATCCATCAACTCAAAGGTACCATTTGGAATCCTACTTCCTTCCATTACAAAAAAAAAGAGAGCGAAGAAACAATAGTAAAAGTGAACCATGCTATATTAAATGAGAGTATATCCCCTTTGTAGCACCACGTCTTGCATTCCATATTTGAGCATGAATTGCGAGACTTTTTTTTTCCTTCTTAACAAAAAAAAGAGACAAGTGTTGCATTGCATGCTCAAATATGGAGGCCCCAATTATTTTAATTTGGCGTGGACATGGACACTATACTTCACCAGAATTAGACTTTGACCTAATCAATTTCCTCTTTTCTAAGTTAAGCAATTATTCATTTGCCTACACTTTAAGACAACCAATGTGAGCACAAACTAATGGAAGAGATCAGGAACATCAAAGCACAGGGCAGATATTTCTGTAATGTGGAACATCAAAATAAAGGTTAGAAAGTACCTCATCATGACCTAACTTAAGGAGGTTGGTTCCAAAGTTAATGGCAATGCTTCCAAACAAGTTGATAACGGCTCCAATTACCCACTCGCCCATGGATGGAAGAGATCAGGAAGAGCCTCAAAGATTGTTCAGAGTGAAGTGAGTAGTGTTTTTGCAACTTTGGTAGACTTTCGAGGAGCAGGAGCATCACCGCCGAAGATAATCAGATCCGTGAGGCTAGGAACTGTAAATAGGCAGACACGGTATGGGAAAGCGGAAAGGTGATTATATAGAAAAAGAGATGGGCAGAAGATCATAATGTAAAAATAATGAAAATGAAATTGAGGAGGAGCTGAGAAAGTTCACCTAGAAAGGGGGACCGGCAGGTTAAAAGCGGCTATGTATTGCGTGAAATTTGAAGGAAAGCGGATCAAACAATGAACTTCATTCTTCCTTCTTGTAATAATGAGATATCAAATTTATCTTTGGATTTATATCTAACCCTAAAAATGATATTTGAAGCTTTAACATACAGAGGGAGTTGACAAATTTGTTCAAAGATGATGGCGATGGACTGTCTTGCGTTCCTGGCAAAGTATTGTTTTCTGAAGAAAAAAAAATACCCCTACAGCCATGCCATTTCTCAATTAAAAAACAGGCTGTGGTTGAGGGGTCCATTTTTCAGCGTGACGACTTATCAACCCTTCAGGAGTTGCCCCTGCCCTGCCTGTTAAATGATTGTCGGTCGGTAAAGACTCTTCATTTGGTGCTCAACAAAAAATGATTACTCCAACTACAGTTTTCAAATTGAAAGTACGGAATTGGGCTCATAAATATCACTAATCTACGGAAAAAGCTTATAAAAAGAGTAAACTATATAAATCCCACTACTTTATACTATAATTACTTAGAATCTCGATAGATTTTTAAATTATTTGCTATATCACTTTTTTTCAGTCAGATACATAAATCAAAAGTGGTTAGATACATGTATCTACCATAATTAAAGGGAAGAGATACATTATTTAATTAATTTGAATGGAATGTTGTAACTTAATTCCACAATTAAAGGATTAAAATATGGGATGTAACAAACCATGAATTAGGTGGATTAATTGATATCAAATTGTTATAGCTTTCTGAAAAAGGACTAAATCGCATAGATTAACAGATCTAGCGTTTTAAACTTTTTCGTCTCTTCTTCGTTTCATTCCCTTGAAAACTGAATTTTCAAAGTTATTTTGTCCGAATGGCGAATATAACTATATTGTTACGACATTCGGGTTCGTAGATCTCCGAAAGCGATTACGCAAATTATAGAATTGATGAAATATTATTGAGAGAGTATGCAACCTACAATGATCTAGTCGATGGTATTTCAACACAACTAGGGATCGATTGTTCACGCAAAAGAATGGAGATAAGATACTGGAAGGCAATGTAACTCCAATGGACATTCGAAATGAGATGGGTATGAGGTTTTTATGGAATTGAAAATACGTCAATCCAATTGTGGTTTGTATCCATTATGCATAACAATGGAAGAGCAAAATTTTGGATGCAGCAACAATGGTGAAGTATCTTTTGACCAAGATACATCCATGGTTGAAGTTGGAGGTGACGTTGGAACTGTATATGTAGTAGCTCTTGCAGATAATCATAGTGTAAATGCGTTAAGCGTTTTGGATAGTAATTCAGATCATGTTATTTGTGATCGTAGCCACAAAGTAGTTAAAATCAAGCAGTTGTATAAGGACAAGAGTACTATCGTGGCTGTAATGCAAAAATATGTTATAGACAATTGATTTCAATTCAAGGTTTTAAGATCAGACAAGAAGATGTTAGTCATATTTGTTATTTTGTTAGATACATGATGTGCACGTTATTTGTGTATTATAGAAGCATGAAGAAATGTGTCATAGGTTAGTGTATCTCGATCAAATAAAATGTATCTTGAAAAAAATATTGAAAAGTAATAAATATTTTTGTAACATGTATATTTTATAGTGTGTATCTCGGAAAGATTATGTAGACATCATTGTTAAAGTAAAAAGATCGTTGAAGAGTAATAAAGGTTTTTGTAGCATTAATATTGTGTTGCTCATGTGTCTTAGATAATAAAGTAGTATAGATACATGCAAAAAATTTCATGATTTATAGTGCGTATCTCGGACAAATGAAGTGTATCTCGAAAAATGAAGTGTATCTTTATATATAATTTAGTTTATAGAAATGTGTCATAGGTTAGTGTATCTCGATCAAATAAAATGTATCTTGAAAAATATATTGAAAAGTAATAAATGTTTCTGTAACATGTATATTTTATAGTGTGTATCTCGGACAAATAAAGTGTATCTCAGAGAGATAATGTAGACATCATTGTTAAAGTAAAAAGATCTATTGTTGAAGAGTAATACAGGTTTTTGTAGCATTAATATTGTGTTGCACATGTGTCTTAGATAATAAAGTAGTATGGATACATGCAATTTTTTTCATGATTTATAGTGCGTATCTCGGACAAATGAAATGTATCTCGGAAAATAAAGTGTATATTTATATATAATTTAGTTTATTGTTAAGTTCATTAAGTTGTATCTTATATAATTAAACATGTATCTGTTAGCCTCAACGATTATAACTGAGTGCCTTTGTGTGCAACTACTTTTTGGGATGTATGTCTGAGGAGTGCCAATGGATATTCAAATCATCATGTTTGAATAAGACAACTTTATTTCGAGTTAGATGTTTCAATAGAGAGCATACATGTCCGTTAAAGGATAAAGTGTGCTCACAGCGTGAAGCAACAGTTGGTTTGATATCTGGAATAGTTGCTCCGAAATATGTGAATCATCAAAGAAAGCACACACCAAAGGACATCCAAGAAGATGTGAAATGCGAATTGGGAGTAGACATTAATTACATGAAGGCATGGCGTTCGAAAGAAAGAGCTATCTGAACGATTAATTGATTCTTGGCATTTTACAACCATTTTAATTGGATCGTTCCTAAACTTAATTCTACTCACCGCTCAAATGTTGGAAGATGAATAGTCAGAACCTGCAACCATTGCAACATTGTTAACGAAAACATACAAATAAAAATGAGCGACCATTAAAATAGTATGAAGAACTAACAAATTCAACCAGTGAAAAAAATCCTAAATTTGGACTTTAAAACTACTACATCTGTGAATTAGATACATTAAAATGGTGTCAAACAAAAATACATCAACCAAAAAAAAATGATTACTTTACCTCTATATATAATGCTGCTTATGTAGAGTTGGGTATGAAATTCTTACATCCAAAATATGCATTGAGTAGGTTGAGAAGAAGGGGTAATGGAAGATGAAGCATAATAACGTGTAGGTGTGGGTAGAGATACAAAGGAGACGTGTGACTGGGGAGGGAAACAATGGTGTTGGAAAGAGAGAAATTTATTTGAATTGTAAAAAGTCCCAATAATTAAGGAAGTATAATGTTAGGATAATTATTAATTACCACTTTTAATAGGATTGTGTATCTGGTTATATTTTCTAAAATATACGGTATATTTATTAAAAAATGGTATTATAAGTAATATTTTTAAACTAGTGGGAATATATGTATTTATGGTATGAAAGTATGTCTATATAGGTAGTTTTTCCTTATAAAAAATCCTTTTTTCACTTTTGGATTAAAAAATACATTTACGCTTTATTTGGATGGTTATTATATATTATTTCATAATATATCCTAATGATAGATAGTATTATTTTCTGTCATTATATAATGTCACACATTCATAATTTAAATAATAAACCTACAAAAATTTGTAAGTTATAGAGTAGAGCTATTATGAAAAGGTAAGGAAAATGATAAAATAGAGTTATTAAATAATAAGTAAAGATAAATAGAGAAGAAAATATCATGGTAACAATGCGATCACACGAAATGGTTATTTTCATCGTTACCTAACTATGAACTTAAACGATACAATAGAATTTAAGTAACAATCAAAACAAACATTGTATTTAAACTAAAAATACAATGCAATGGGTAACAACCATCCAAACAAGGTGTTTAAAGTTTGTTTTTGGGTTCAAACATACCCCTCAAACTAACAAATAACTCTTCAAAAAACCATGTGGCACTCTCTAATTAGTCCAACATTTTAATTCAAAATAATTAAAATCCACCCAAGTTTTAAAATTGAAACCCTTGAATCTCAATGATCCGTTTTCAACCTAAAAAATTAAAGGATACATTCTTTTTCTTCCTAAAAAATCATCGATCTACGTTCTTTACCTCGTGTGAGTCTGTCACGACCCGATTCCTCGAATCATGATGGCACCTACTATAACCCACCAGTAGGTAAGCCAACCCGGAACAACAAGTAATGGGTCTGAGGGCAGAAACAAGAGTAGGCAAAATTTAAGATAACAACATAACCAGGCGGAAGCACACCAAACATATATACAAATAAAGATCCCTCCCAGAACCTGGAAGTCACTAGTACAGAGCTACTAACAAAACGAGTACAAGTCCCAAAAGTGGACCACAGAGACTGGATTGTCTCGAAGGGTAAAAGACAAGTTTATATACACAGATAGAGACTGAAATAGTACAAAACATCGTGTGCTCACCCCCGTCTCTAGATCAGACTACTCCAAACTGGATCAACGACGGCCACTGGTGCTCGGACCTGCATCACGAAACAGATGCAGAGCGTAGCATGAGTACCAAAACAACAGGTACCCAGTAGGCATCATAGGCCGACTGAACTTGAAAAGTAAAGGCAATATGAAAAGAAGGAATATCTCAAACCGAAGTCAAGAACTAAAATCTAACTATCAATGGAATGCACACGAGTGTAGAAAGAACTAACTAAAGTAATCTATAAGCTAACTACACCTAACTGGACCCCCATAAGCCCAGAAGGTACACTCGTGCGCAAGTTAAATGAAAACCTGAACGGACTCTCATAAGCCCGACGAGTACACAGAATAACAATAACTAAAGAGAATTGCATATAAGAACCCAAGAACGGAGATCATCAAACCAGAACATCAACCCTAATTAGTAGAATATGACAGTACGGAGGCCGGACCTCAAACCGGATGCTCACCAGACGTACCTAAGTAACAAATCACAAGTATCAAGTATCTGAGGCTGGAACTTTAACCAGATGCTCACCAGAAGTACCCAAGTAACCAATCACAAGTATCAAGTATCTGAGGTCAGAACTCGAACCGGATGCTTTATATAAGTATCTTGGCAATAGAGGTCGGACCTTAAACCGGATGCTCCATATAAGTATCTGGGCAATAGAGGCCGGACCTTAGACCAGATGTTGTATAATGGTGCCAATGTAGCTGCTGAAAGAGTCCTAATCGATCCACGCTCATAAATGTCCGTGGAACGTTGTCCATACGTAGCCAATCAATGTAATTCCTTGGAACCGAATCGAAAATCAAATTCAAATCGCAAAGCAGAATTAGCGTCGCCGACGTAACTCGTGAAGCCGTAACATCGGGGAAAATAAGGATAACTAAAGTCGGAGAAAACGTATCGACTAGCTAAGGCCCAAACTATCAGACTCAAGTTTGCTACACCAGTCTACATGGATCTAAGCCGATCGAGCGACGTCGGGGTAAAACTAAGGCCTATCGGATCCGAATCATGTATTTCTAAGGCAGGCCCTAGTCAAACCTGAACTAAGGCCCAACATGCTTC